TAATTAGCTCTTTTCTGAGTGGGCAGAGCTAATGTGTGACTTTTCTTCATATCTCTAGCCCAGCACACACAGCAGGCACTCAAAAATGTTTAATAAGTATCCTAGCCAGGTGTCGATAGTTGATAGTTTCTACAAACTGAAACTTTCAACTCATCCTCTAAAAGGGAGAGGGTAAGATGAAGGTAGAAGCCAGTATTTGCAGAGTGCTTACTTCGTATCTGGCATGCCAGGAATGCAGTAGGCACTTTCACTGATTACTTTATCTCATTTGCATAGGTATTATACTATGCCATCTTGCAATCAGCTTGCCCAGGGCCACACAGCTGCTATGGAGCTGGAACTCAAAGTCACATGTATCTTGACTCCAAAAGTAGTACACCTTCTGCTACATCATGCCTTTAATATAAGACAAAATTTGTCCAACTGTTACAGCTCATTTTCCCATTTGAAAATGTTCACAAACTGTCCTAAACCAATTAAGAAGTCCTGAAAAGTTGACAAGGAACATCTAATAAACTTGCTTACTTCAAATCAAACTTATTTTGGCCATTAAGCAAATGTTTACCATTCCTTTGCTGTGGATGACTGCCAATATTCTCTTAGAGATTTGTGTTTCGTGAAGGTAATACGAAGTTATAGGCGGAAACACGTGTGCTTAAACAGGTCATAATTTTACTACCATCATGGAAACTGTATTTTATATAAGTTACTAATAAATCAATATGCATGTCTTCAAATATCAAAGATTTCTTTAACTGTCAGACCTCACAATGTTTTTATAAGGCTGCAGAAGAAGATAAGGCTGTGAAGACAATATAATGGAATCACCAGTCCATTGGGGAGGGGGTTGGGCGCCAGGACTTTCAGTTAAAATATTACTATTTGCGACCTTTTACTTAAGGGAACTGTAAGCTTCTGGTAATAAACACCAGTAGCATGGTGCATGCTAACATATCAGACAGACAGGAAATAATTATTTGGTACTGCTTCAGTGTTCAGATCACTTGGGAAACAATAGTCTGTGTCTCCACTGGAGTTAGGTTTGTACTGCATGGTAGGCTAACTGCTTTCAAGGCCCAGATGCAGGGGAAACTAGACTTTTGTGATGAAACTACATCTCGTATTTCCTTAGAGAACAAATGCAGATTCTTTATCCACTGGTAGGCAAAGTGGCCACCTTCCTACAGTAGGGCTGGAGCTGTCACCTCCACGCAGCAGCTGAGAATGGGGTGGGGGCAGCCGTGAGGAAGTCCCACACCCGCCCCCCCCTGGGGACCTTGGTGGCCACATCCAGGCTCTACTCTCCCCTGATCGGGGGAACCTGCAGCCTCGAGGCCATGTGTGACCCTCCAGATCCCCGACTGTGGCCCCTCAACCGAATCCAAACTTCACAGAACAAATCCCTTTATTTAAAAAATGATTTGTTCTGTAAAATTTGGATTCAGTCAATAGGCCACACTCAAGGATCCAGAAGGTGACATGTGGCCCCAAGGCCTCAGGTCACCCCACCCCTGCAACAAGAGCATGCCTTCATGTACCTCTTACACATGATCTCCAAACAAGTGTCTAGCTGTGGAAGACTTCCAGAACAACAAAGGCCATGAACATGCTTTTGTTTGTATTTTAGAGATTGTGTCAGGCCTTCTCATTTGTTAACCAAATAATCCCTCACCCTAATTCTAGAATTTCAAGCCCATGGGGAGATCGCAATCTCTCCCTTTCTTCCTCTTTCTCTCCCTTCCCTCCATCTCTCCCTCCCCCGCAATCCCCTCCTCCTCTCCCAGACAATGTAAGGAGGTGTTTATCATGAGAAATTGATCAAAAAATACTAGAATACAAACATCACTATAGTAGCAAATGTCAGAATTATTCAGACTGCATTATGGGCTTTTGTTTAGAAATTAACTTGGAGTGAGGAAGTTGACAAAGTCCTTTTTTTTTTCCCCTAGTTTAACCCCTGACCAGAAGCCAAGGGAATTTCTGAGCATGACGAGCCATCAACACCTCCAGTCTAGAGAGACATTTTTGAGTATCTGTGCCAAGTAGTTTATAGAACAAGCATGGGCAAGGAAGAGTGCGGAGGATGGCACGCAGAATGATTTATTTGCAATGGTTTTAGCCTATTTAAACTTGGAAAAGCACTGGGGGATGAGAAATCTGGTTTCTGATTCGGAGGCTGGTGCCGTCACCGCCCGCAGGGCCGTGTTAGGGTAAAGTGTCTGCGGAGCAGCAGGGAGCGTCGTAAAGGGGCTGTGCAGGATGGCAAGTCCTCGCTCATCTCTGTGCCGAGCGGGCCGCGATGTCGCAACAAACTCTTACAGAACATGGCTTTTTCACAATCCGGAACATTTTCAAGTGATGTTTATCCTTCAGAAATGTTTTAAAATATTAATAGTAACCTTGTTCCTGTGGATCAACATTTATACCACATAAAATTTCAAAACAAAACTAGACAGAAATAAGAAATGTATTTATCTTTTGCTAAATACATGTGCATCTACTGACAACAGACTTTCTTGCAGGCCTTGGACAAAGTCCTTCACTTATCAGAACCTCAGCTGAAAAAATAAGATGCTTATATTGGAGGAATTTTAAAATATACAAGCTATTAGATAAGAGTATTCTTTATAGTAACATTAACATTTATTAAATAATATTAAACACTGCTAAAGTTAATTTGTTAATGTCATTTATTAATGACATTGTTCCTTCACTCAATAGAGAAGATAAATTATTGTGAGACTAGCTTTTCATTTCCTGGGCGTTGGCTGTTCTTGTTGTAATGGTAATAACTCCTACATCTGTTCCGTTTTACAGATGACAAATGAGGAGCACACCTGCTGTCTCAATCACTGAGGTTAATTAAGCTAGGAATGGTCGCTTCCACATCAGAGGTAAGGAAACCGGTGCTCAGGAAGGCCCCAAGTCTTATTCCTGACTTGGGGACAGAACAGACGTGACAACCCTGCAAGTCAGACAGCCTGGGCTAGACGTGTGGCTCTGGGCACCCCACCTCCCGGTGTCCGCAGTTGTCACTAGAGCACCGGCTGTGCTGCTACACCCCTCCTGTGACCCACCTTAACTAAAAGGGCCCGGATGGCAGGTTCCTGCCACCGAGCAGACTACTTATAAAGTTTCCTGCCTTCCCTCCTTCTGACAAATGTGCTTAGTGCCTCTTACAGGGTATTCTTCAGAAAAGAAAATTGTGATGAACGTGAATTTCTTTAATAGTAACCATGCATCTGCAAGCAAATCTTTGAATCCGGTATTTAAGGAATGGGACCAGGGAACGTATACTTCTTCCTTCAACACATGGAGTTTTAGAGTATTGTTAACTGGCCTTCCTTATCCAGGATGACTAAGTTTCCATAATGTGCTCACTTTGTCCCCAGGGCCCAGGAGGGAGTCAACACAATGGCACATTTCTCTTAGGGACTGGGGAATAATGACTCCTGACCTCTGGAAAATGAATCAAGACCACCTACTTATTTCACACAGCTAATGCCTATGTGTCATGTGGAAACAATTACCATCATGGTCAGTCCGGGCTGGTTCCATGTCTAGAGGCTAGGTTCTTATTTTTGATTATCAATTCTACAAGTCAAACGGGTCTAATTATTAGTAATGAATCCTATAAAATATTTTGTTTTCCCAATCACTACAACAAAAAACCCAATCCAACAACCATTAAACAAATGGAAAAAGAATTATTTTCCAATAAAACTGACACCCTAAACTTGAGCTACCTGTCAACTTACTAGTTTCACATCTAAACTAAAAGTTTAGAATTTTCTGGCAAATTTACATTTCATTTTATTTCAACTGTAATTCTAATTTATCTTTATTTGAAACAACAAAATATATTTCTCTCTTGGGTTTTTAAACGTATCACTTATTAAATTCTTTAAAGCACCTGCGTTCTCATTAAAAGCTCATTGGAATATTCACATGACTTAGTGATGGATAATGCGATGTTGCGTATTGTCACTTTGCTCTTGCTTTCATGTCTCCAAAGTGCCCAGATGTGTAGACTGCCAGTTCCCTACACAGAGCAGTTCAGCGTTCAGTAAGCTGTGGAGCAGCCGCTGCTCTCCTGATACCAGTTAATCTGCAGTGCTGTCAAACATGTCACACGAACCGTGAATCATTGCCTTCTGCAGAAATCGCTTAAACCCCCAAAGCAATGCTCAAGGCAGACAGCTGCATGGTCAGCCCTGCACCCACAGCAAGTCACTTCCCACAGAGGACTTTATAAATCATCTTTAAGATAATCCCAGGGCCTGAGTGAAGGCTTTAATAAAGATAAAAAGAAAAAGGAAAATTTGTCAAAAACAAATTGGTTGTCTTTCAGGCAGACACATTTTGAGCAGGTTTTTTTTCCCCTAAGACATGTTCTTTTCTCAAACAACTAGTGGAACTCTCTTCATCTAAACAATCTGGAATTTCTAAAGAATGTTGTTTTTGCATAGTTAATATTTTCACATTTTTCTCCCCCTCTTTGGTCTTTCCCAGTATAATATAATCCTTTGCACCTGCAAAAGCTCCACAGACTGCTGACTGCCAAGAATCCACCACATGATCCTGCCTCCAGGACCAGAGGGCCTGTGTTTAAGGAGAAAGAAAAATACAAGTTATTAAATATTTGAATTTATCGGAACCTCCTGTGGGTTAGCTCTGGGGATGGGAACTTAAGTGAGAAGCTATTTTGGTGGCATTCTTCACTGATGACATAAGTGACTTTCCCAAGGATTTAACTGCATTCTAAAATAAGTCAAAGAAACAAGGGTGACAGCTACATTACAATGCTCAAAGGAAACAATTTTCAGGGAATATGTGTGATACACACACACATACACACACACGCAAAATCACAATTAAGACAGTGAACTTATCCATGAACTAAAAGTTTTCTTGTGTCTGTATGTAACCCCTTCCTGCCCCTCCTCACTACCCCTAAGCAATCTGATCTGTCATTCTATATTAGTTTGCCCTTTCTAGAATTTTATATAAATGTAATCATACATTAATTTTTTTTAAAAATATGGCTTTTCATTCAGAATTATTTTACAATTCATCCACGTCAAGCAGATATCAACAGTTCATTTCTTTTTTATTGGTAGGTAATATTCCATTGGTTATATGATAATTTATGTATTGACCTGTTGGACATTTGGAATTTTTCTAATTTGGGGCTATTACAAATAAAGATGCTACGAACATTTGTATAAGAATCTTTAATGGACACGTGCATTTCTCTCTCTGGGGGAAATACCTAGGAGTGGAATAGTTAGATCACATGGCAGGTATATATTTAACTTTTGAAGAACTGCCAAACTGTTTTCCAAAGTGGTTGTGTCATTTTACATTCCCACTAGTTCCAGTTTCTCTACATTTTTCCCAACACTTGGTATTGTCACCATTTTAAAATTTTAACCATTCGAGTAAGTGCATAGTTTTATTTCATTGTGGTTTTAATCTGTATTTCCCTAATGACTAATGATGTTGAGCTTTCTTATCATGTACTTATTTGCCATTCATTATAACTTCTTTGGTGAAGTGTCTGTTCAAATGTTCTGCACATTTTTATTGGGGTGCCTACTATCTAACTTACTGAGAGTCCAGGGTGAGAACCTGCAGCCTTAAGGCCACATGTGACCTTCTAGGTCCTTAAGTTGTAGCCTTTTGACTGAATCCAAATTTTACAGAACAAATGCTTTTATTAAAAGGGGTACAGCAGAGAAAGATGAAGCTTTTCTTGCCTCCTTTGGTGCTTAAAAAAGAACAATCTCAAAATCAGAAGCCCACAGGTTCTGATTAAATACACCATGTTATTTGCAAATATTTTTTCCTAGTCTGTAGCTTGTCTTTTCGTTCTCTTAACAATGTCTTTCAAAGAAAAAAGTTTTTAATTTTGGTCAAGTGCAACTTATTCTTTTATAGATCTTGCTTTTGGTGTCACATCTAAGAAATCTTTGCCTAACCCAAAATCACAAATTTCTCGATCCTGTGTTTTCTTCTAGAAATGTTAAGTTTTTAGATTTAACATTTATATCTATCATCCATTTTGAGTTAATTTTAATATATGGTACAAGGTGTGGATTGAAGTTCCTTTGTTTTTAAATGTGGATGTTTAATTATTCCAGCAGCTGGAGAAGACAATCTCCCTTTCTCCAATGAATGCGGAATCTCACTCTTGTCAAAAATCAATTGTCCATATATGTGTGGGTCTATTTCTGGACTCTCCATTCTGTTCTAATCTATGTATCTATCTTGCTGTTGATTCCATACTTTCTTGACTACTGTAGCTTTATAATAAATATTGAAATCAGGTAGTATTAAGTTTTCTATATTTGCTCTTTTTCAAAGCTGTTCTGACTATTCTAGGTTCTTCACATTTCCATATGAATTTTGAAATGGTATTACTGATTTCTACAAAATAGCCTACTGAGATTTTGATGGGATGCACTGAATTCAGGGATCATTTTGTGTTAATAATATTGAAGGTTTTTTCTTCTTAGGCAGGCATCTCTCTCCATTTACTTAGGCTTCCCTTAATTTCTCTCTGCACTGTTTTGTAGTTTTCAGTATACAGGTCTTGCACTGGTTTTGTCAAATTTATCCCTAAGTATTTCATGTTTTGATGCTATTGTCAATGGTAATGTTTGTTTTATAAATTTCAACTTCTGGTTGTTCATTGCTAATTTGCGGAAACTGATTTATCAACACAATTGATTTTCTTACACTGATCTTGTATTCTGCAACCTTGCTCAACTCAGTTGTTAGACCTATCAGCTATAATAGCTTTTTTGTAGACTCCATCAAATTTTCTACATAGATAATAAGACAGTTTTACTTCTTCCTTTCCAACTGGGATATGTTTTATTTCTTTTCTTGCCTAACTGCACAGGTCAGGACCTTTAGCATAATGGTATACACTGCAATAACCACCACAAATATTATCACAAGACCTCTTGAATATACTAATTTAAATGGTTAGAATAGTATAAAGACTTACTCAGCATAATGTGACATTTAGGGATAATCAAATACACCACCACTGAAAGAATAACAGTAAAGTTAGCACTAATTTCCTACTCTCAATAATTCCCCTCTGACAAATATATCTGGAAGGTTAAGAAGGTTGCTAAGGAGATGAAGAAGATGCCATACAAACGAGACAGATATATGGTCCTGTTGACTTTGTCAATTTTAACAACTTTTCTTAAGTCAGATGCCTATGTTAATTATCTCACAAATAAGATACATAATAGTGTGTGGTTTCTGAGGACTCCAGCATTTCCTTCCATCCGTACTAATGAGAATGATTCTCTAAAAGTATACTTATTCAATTTTAATCCTTGCTTATGAAAGTAGATAAGCTAAAAAAAAAAAAAAGATTATATATAGGTTTTTGGCACATTTTCAGTAAATGCTCTAAAGTTTACAAATAAATCTGTGTGCTTTCGTAGTAAGCATTATTTTTTCCAGAGCTCTTGTAAGCACTGGAGAAACAATAAAAAAAGACAGCAGAATAACATCTTTTTACTTTCAACGTGGCAAAATGTGCATTTTATCAACCTAATGTCAGTTTTAACACCATTACATACTTCACCAACTTATTAGAAAAGAAATGTGAAACATAAATTTGACTTTTCTTGACAATTGAAGGTTATCTTCAGTCAATCTACTGATATCTTCAAGGGTTCCAAAGAGCAGAAGTTTACTCCAAACAGACTTAAAATACTAGCAATAATGCTGAGTTTATAAGCAATAGTAAATAACATGATGTGAATTACATCTTGTTGTATAGGGGGAAGAAATCAAAGATGCTATGTAATTCACAAATTCAACAAACATTTACTAAGCACCAACTAGGTGTCAGGCACTATAGAGTCAAGAAAAAAAAGAACAGTCCCCTAGGTCTCATATTCAAGGAGGGCATGGTGGGGGCAGAAGAAGATTATAAAAGAGAGAAGAGAGGTGATGGAGATGGCTTCGCAGAGGTGCCTGCTGTAATCTAGGGGGAAAAACAACTTTGGTTGCCAAGGGAAAAAAACACAATCAAAATAGACTCAGATGGCTGAAGACACAGTTTAAAAATAGAACCTTCCACAGATAAGCATAACTTTCCACTATCACCTGGCCAGAATAGTCTAAGAAGATATAAATAATTTTGTATTTGAAACGGATACTAATAAATACCTTAAACAAAAAATCCCTAGAAAAACCAGAAGGTTTAAAGTCAAGTGAGAAATTTCAGTGGCAAACACACAAAGCATGATATAAATACTGATTGTAACAGCTGCCGCAATACATACTTATAGAGAACTTAGTATCTTCCAGGCACTCAACACTTTACATACATTGACTTACGTAATCTTCACCAAAGTCTTGTGAGGTATATGTAATTCTTAAGATTTTGCCATTTTTAGACAAGAAAGTGGAGGCTCAGAGATGTTAAGTAATTTGTCAAAGCTTAAACAGTTAGTGCCAAAACTGGGATCTGAATGGAACAATATGCTGTGAAGTATAAAAACCCTTGGATTTGGATCTACAGATTGTAACTGTCTTGATAGTGCATAGAATGGTGTCTCCGAGACACTTTATTTCCACACACAGATCACAATTTCCACTGGAACGACATTAAAATACCCAAGTGAATGAACAAACTATGTCAATGTCCAAAACAACTTGCTTAAATAATAGGAATTTGAAATGATTTTTCAAAATAAGGAATTGTTTGAATATAGAACTTCGGACAGTAATATTCACACCAATCTAAAAAGATGAGTTATTTACAAATTATTCATTTGAGTGCAACTCTCAACACATAAAATGACAAGAACCTGACTGTTAAAAAAAATACTGTATATAATTTATGAAAATATTTTGAAATTATACATTTGCTCATGTATTTGAGGAACAGGACGATTGTGATAAACAAACTGGAAAGACAGGAAAAGTTACTTATAGGAAGACTAAAGATGATTATGACAGTAAGTGGGGAAACTGAGGACACAAAGCCACATGTCTTGTAGACAAATAGAACAATATGCAACACGGTAAGATCCCTCCCTACCATACACAGCTCAACTTCTAATGGAACTACATTATAATTAATATACAAGTTATCAGAGGAAATATTTTGGTGTCAATAAAATAAATTAATATTTAAATAAGTGGATCTATAATAGAGAGGGCTTTCGGTTTTTTTTTTTTTTAAGGACTTGTCTGAACACCAAAAATTGTTTAAATTGGCATAATTTCTCAACCTAAATAAGTAATTTCACTACTACATAGGTCTAGTCATCGTTTCTGTCGGGGCAGACAAGTGACTGGGGAAATGGGCGGACAACAGGCACGAAAGCAGCCCAAATGTGAAGAACCAGCGTGGGGGTCTCAGCTGTGGTTGACAGAGGCTGTGCACCAAAACAAAAATAACGATTTTTAAAAAGCAGGCGGCCATACTTCCCCTGGTATTTGCTTTTTTATCCCAATTCAATGTCCCATTTCCTTTTTCTTTTCAAATATAAATGAAATTTTCAGATGAATCTATGGACATTTGTGTATATTAAGTTTCAAGTTTAAGTAAAGAGGCTGGC